TGCAGACGATATTTTAAGTTATGAAATCGAACACAAAACGCTCTTTCTTTGTATAAACATAGTTTTTTTTTCAACGGACTCGGCCTTCTGACTCTCAAAATAAAGGAGGTAATCACAATCTGGGAAACATGATTTCCATAGTTTGGTCTGGAGTGCGATCCAAAGTTTAGACCTCTTTATGCTAGTACTCTTTGCGGATTTCGCCATATCCCCGGAGCCTTTTAAGAGAAATGAAAAATTTTGCACACAATTATAAAATTAGTTTATCCAAAGATAATTCCATGCGAAAAATAAATTTCAGTTAATATTCATTATTTTTTATTAATTTATTAGCCGAAACATTTTTGAATTATAAGGTATAAATTTTTTTTATATCATTTTAACATATTTAATTTTACGTGGGAAAATCCGAAATTTGAGTTCCTGAAAAATTGAACTTTAAAAGTACGACTTTTTTAAAATTCTGTTTCTCAGAAACCATTGAACCGATTACGCTCAAATTTTGTTTTTTGCCATGCAAAGTTTCGTACGTTAAAATAATGTACAAAAATTGTGTCCTTCACAATTCAAACATTTTTCGACTATTATTAAACAAAGAAATAAAAATTTACTAAAGTTTATTTTCTGCATGGAATTAACTTTGGATAAACGAATTTCATAATTGTGTGCAAACATTTTTAAATGCATTTAAAAACTTCTCTAGATATGTGAAATACGCAAAAAGTGAAATTGACCTTATGGCGTCCAAGCCTTGGATCACTCTCCTGGCCAAACTATTGGGACCATATTTCCCTGATTGCAGCAACCCCCTATATTTTGGGAGTCAGAAGTCGAAATCTGTCAAAAAAGAGTATGTTTATTCAGAGAAAGTACGTTTTTGTGTCTGATTTCGAAACTTAAGATATCGTCTGCACCGAGTAATTAGCATATTTGAAGCCACCTTTATGAACCATTTAGACTGAGTCCTAGAACGTGAAAAAAAAGTTATTCATGGTCCGTTTATTTTTTTGAGTACTGTACTTAAGTATCTTATTACCTATGTAAATATATGGTAATTTCCATCAAAACACGTATCTGTACAATTTGGATATTTGGATATCTGAACATTGATGAGGAATAAAACTACAGATGAATTAAATCAAGCTTCTAAATCGGGGATAAGTAAAAACGCAAATTTAAGTAAGAGTATATTCAAATAACGGAACCTTGTCATATTTGAGCAGATTTGAAAGCAATTCACGAAAAAAAAAATTTTCATAGAATATGTACAAAACTTATCAGAAAAAACTTATTGAATCAAATGCTTATAATTGAGGAGTACGGCAATTCCAAGATAATTTTTTAATTCTATACCAATTTAAAAACAATTCGCAAATTTATTTTATGCAATATATATAAAATTTACATAAAGAAAAACTTTTTGAATACAAGGTTTGCACCTCAGGTGTACGTGGATTAGAAGGAAATTTTTTCCGATTTAGAAAATGGTTTATTATACTGGGGCGTAAAAGAAGTTAAAAGCAGCTCCAAAAAACACTTGAGACTAAATTTTACATTTCGTTAGAGTTATTAATACTTTAAAGTGAAATCAAATAACTAGTAGAAGTCAGAACTTTGTAAAAAATAAAAATAATTCATGTTAATACACTAAGCAAATGGAAGGAAAACTAATAACTAGCTCCAAAATTTAACAGAGTAACGGTTTGTCCTCTATAATTACTGAAGTGTAGTTATGCAATAAACGAGAAACCGAATTCCAACACTGGAACCGAGTAATAGTAACTAGTATTAAATGAAGTGTCATCGTATATAATTGATTCACGGGTATTATTATGGGGATTTTATTGAATACATTAAATATTGATACACTACAATTAACATAGTCTTTACTTTTACAAATCGTTCAATTCCTTTCGTTGAATTAATCAATTCGTTGGATCATTAAATGATAATATATTTGTAATTGATACCATCTTCAGTTTAGTTATGCATGAAGCTACACAAAATTTAACAGCATCTCATTTCCTTGAATATATTAAGGATTCTATATGGTTACATTATGTACTAATAATGTTATAAATAGACAAATTATTCCTTACGCACTAATGTGTGATAACTATAAAATAGTTTTTATTCTCATACTATTTCAATCAATTTGTCTTTTCAATCAATTTAGTTTTTAATCAATTTGTTTTCGAAAACAAATATTTCAGAATTTTTGCCTGTTTGCATATGTTTTAGACAAATGTAACTTTTGTTTTTTAAAAAGCTCAAATACAATCTAAATGTAAAAAAACAAAAAAAAACTGCTTAAGGAAATATTTATTAACTTTGCTTTATTTTGTAAAATTGAATCTGTAATCATCAGTCATTCATTATTTATCATTATTATGTTTTTTAAAGGCGCTATAAGCACTGTGATAGACTAACGCATTTTTAAACCAATAAGAAATAAATTGAAATATAAAATTTTTTAATATGACTCACTTACAAATTATTTTGGGTAACTTTATTCTGTGTAGATGTACCGTTTGAAACGAAAGTATATTTCAGAAGGAAAAAAATTGTATATTAAAGAGAAAGTTTTTCTGGTACATTGGCGGATAAATTAAGATATTTTTTTTACATTTTGTAAGTGTGTTTTAGCATTTGAAGCACCTTCTGTTGATATATCCCAAACTATCTGATCATGTGACCAACACTGACACTTTAAATCTGGGTGCCCATACTTAAAAATTATTCTATATCTTTATTCTACAGATTGTAGCAATAACGTTTACTTAAAAAGTGTTTTTGGAAATGTGAAGAAATTTATCAATAACAAATTTAAGTGCTGAGAAAATCCTTTAATTAGATTCTAATCAACTGGAAAATTTTATTTGTCAATAATATTTCAGAGTAATATTGGAAAGTTTGACCCATGACCCACTAAAAGTTATGATTTTCATTATTAAGAAAAATAGTAGTTATGAGATATTCTATTTCAAAGTTTGAGCAAGTAATTTATTAAAGGACCACAAAAACTGAAAAATAACACGAATAAATACAAAATATTTTAAATTTCTTTAACTTCTAAGCAAAAGAAAATAGAATTCTACATTTAGAGCAAATAATAAGAGATATTGCAAGTATTAATTTAGCACCTTGAAAATTATCATTGAGTTAACATGTTTCTCCAAATTTAAAATGTATATAGAGAAAAATGTTGAAATTTCAAAATTATTCAGTATGCAGCTAGCATGATAGCGAGCTAAGTTTATATACAATTAAAAATATTTTCAATAATGTTTTAAATATGTTTTAAATAATTAGTAAATGTTACATTTATAAATTATACATAATTTTATAGTTTTCTTTTAAAAGGTATGTTTTTCAAATGCATAATTAGGGCTCCTTAAATGAAAAAAATGAATTTGTTTTTCGTTTTCTTCTGCCTTTTTTATAAAAAATAATTTTTTTAAGAAAAACATTATTTAAATAACTTCATAATATATAAAACTTCATAAAAATTTATATTTGTACATAGAATAACTTTTGAGAAATCATGCGAGTAAGAGTTTTAAATTTAGATATTTTCTTGTAATAATCTTCTTTTCAGATTACTAAAAATATGTTTACTTTGTGATAATTTACAAAGTGTCAAATTGTAGCTAAAAATTTCTCCCTAGACATTTTAAATTTTACGCTTTTATTCGTACTTTTAAAGCTCTGAGACTTCTTAACAGCTCTTTAATCAGGACAACTGATAAAACTTGATGCTTTCAAATTTCAACGACGCACTTGTAAAATTGAAATATGGAAAAGAAAGAAGACTTTTATAGTTTAAAAGTTCTGTCCTTGAAGTTCCCGTTGTAAACAGATGTTTTGTAACTTTGCCCACTTTTTCAGTTAATGAGCAAATTTTTAAAAACTCAAATATTCCTAAAATTATGATTTTGTCGATTGGTTTCAAATTTTGATAGCATATATGTGAGAAAGAAATTACCTCATAATGAAATACCTTTAAAAATTGTCCTAAAATTATAATGAAGTATCTCATTATAATGACGTACATATTTTTTTTGCATTTTGAATTTCAAAACTGAATTTATTTTTTTCTATTATTTGTTAATATATTGTTTCTATTATCTCAGAAGACAATAGTATGTTCCTTTCAAAGCTATTCAGTAGTGTTTTAAGAAATATTAATACCATGTTTTTTTTTTAGAAGTATATTAGAGTTGAGCAAAACAAAGCTATTTGAATCAATATAATCAGTTTATTTAAGTGATTAAAATCAGCAATTCGGATCACTGATTCAATGCCAAGATGGTGCCAAACTTAAGTGAATATAATGAATTTCTTCAGTATGGAACATTTGAATTACTTAACAATAATTAAACAATAGAAATATAATATGATATAAAGGCAAAATTTAAATTTTGAAATTTTGGGATAATTTCTAATTCAAGATTTCAAAAAAAAAGAAAACAAAAAAAAAAAAATACTAGACTTTGTCTCAAATAACTGTAATGCATCAAAAATTCTGTAGCTTCAGAAATATTTTAGTTTTATATAGCGTCGCTACTATTACAAATAAAAGTCTATATAAATTAAAAGAAACCAAAATTTATTATATTCTAAGCTTTTTGGGAAAAGAAAACACTGATTTGTTTGAGTCATTAACTCGCATTTTAATTTGAATTAAAGGATTCAGATTTTGAATCGAATAAGTTTCACGATGATGATTAAATCCCCGGATCAGTACTCAACTTATATAGTACATTCAGTCTTTTTTACATCCTATAATTTTTGGTAAAAGTTACGTCTGTTAAAATAAAAGAGTATTACAAGTCAGTTAATTATAGTACTTACACCCGTAGACTGCAGTCAATTTCTTTTTAAACAGAACTGAATGAAATATGGACTCATTTTTCGTTTTTAGGAAAATAAACAAAAGCTAAAATAACCAAAATCAATAATAGTTTATTTTTTTTAAGAAAAGGAAAAAAAAAACATACCTTTACGTGAATTTGACTTGAAACTCCAGGACACAATTGAGTCCAGGTATTTTTCAACCTGAAATTAAATTTATAATTTGATGAAATAATAGTATTTTAGGAAAAAAAGCAAAAACAAATCTTTAGGATTACAATTTTAAAATTACGGTAAACATTTTTTAGGTAAATAAAACATCCATTTCGTGTTCATACTAAGCTGTAAAAAATACCTGTAGCTGTAAGAAATATATTAAACCTATACATGTAAACTCTGTTTGCATTTTATAAAATAATTTAATTATGCTTTTTTTCTCTAGAAGAAAATACCTAATTAAACATTAAAAATTATTATTAATTAAAAGAGATTTTTGATAGTTAAAAGCTCATTTTAATTATATTTTATTATTAAAATACTGCGACTAATTTTTTTTCACCCAATCAACGTTCCTTAGGTTAACAGTATTTATAAAAACCAAAATTGTAATACTATCTTGTTAGTTTCAAGTAAAATGACTTATTAAATAAGCTTTGTTCATCGAAAACATATTTTGTAATAACTAATTGTTTTATTTTTCTTTAGTTCCATCATGACGTAGTAAATCTCACACAAACTAATGCATATTTAACAAACGAGCAAATACACATTAATATCTACGAGGTTCGTATTTAATCAAGGATGTTCAACAACTTTGCAATGCCTTTTTTATCCTTCTATCTCGTATCCTTTTCGAGACTCTGCAGTTTTCCAACAGATACGGTGGTAAGCGATAGCTTTCACCACATGCCTTCTCTACAATACCAAGACACCCCTTTTATAGCTTTAGCTGATGCCTTAAGGCAGGGATGGGAAAACTTTTTTGGTCGAGGGTAAAATATCGAGGATAAAAAGTTTGGTGGGCCGAGTAGATACTTAAAAAAAAAATAAATAAACGTATACAAGTTTTAATTTAAATATTTAATGAAATTGCGATTTCATTTTTAAAAGTTCTTTATATTGAGGTTCGAAGTGAGATGTGCTTATTTTAAGAAACGAGGCTAAATGCTTGCCTGTTAATCTACTTCTAAAAGGATTTTTTATAAGGTTTATAGTTGAAAACACTTGTTCACATATATAAGATGAAGCAAACATAATACTGATTTTCTGGGTTTTACAATAACATGATATGTGTGCAATCTTTCCATACGCTATAAATAATGTTACAACTCGCGCCGACAGAAAAATCCGCTGCTTCGAGCTTTCGTGGTCTACCACATGTGAAGTACAATTCACCTATATTAGTTTCCATATGTGTGCTCCTCGAGAAAGACAAACGCTCGTTGGAGCCAATCTACGGCTATTCTATAAAGAACTTCTGCTTTCAACATTTTATATTGAAGCTGTCCGTATTCCATGTTGTACTATTTCCATCAATTTATATTTTGTAGAACAAAAATAGGGAAAGTAAAAAGGTCATCAGTAGCTTTAAACATAGTAGACAGGAAAATAGATATATAATGTATCTTGTTTATATTCACCACGGATCGGCAAGTTAAAATTTTATTCGCGGGCCGGATAAAACGTTCCGGCGGGCCACAATTGGCCCGCGGGCCGTAGTTTGCCCATCCCTGCCTTAAGGGAAGAGAATGGCTTACTGTATCTTGATTTATACAATTGCTTTATTTATTACTCTATTTAATTATTTACAATGACTGTATACAATGACTGATATAATTATTATTACAATGACTGATATAATTATTATTACAATGACTGATATAATGATTGCAACTACTTTATACTTTTCTCAAATAATATACTGCTTGCAAAGTAAATCTCATTTTCGATTATCAACAAAATTTTCTTTCTCAAATATTAATTTACAACATTTACTATAAATATTTCATATTTTTTAAAGGTTTTTAAAAAATACATTAATAGAAAAGAACATGAATAAACCAGCATCATTTGTAATTTAATTATTGAAAGCATAACTAGAAGAAATTTAAAGCTAACCACTTTTAAACTATATTACTTTAAAAACATTACTTCCCATACTATTACAGAAAAAAAACATTAAATAGATTCTTTAAGAAAATGTCTGCAAAATGAAAGATGCTCTAGTACAGAAATGTCGCTTTAAACAGTTAATAAACGACTCCATAGAGAATTTATTCAAGTTTAAAGTAAAAGAATACGCTACATTGTAAATTACAGCACTGAATAAAGTACATTATAATGCGAACATAAACTCAGAAAGTATTGAAAAATAAATTTTTCCACAAAAAAAGAATGATTCTACGTTAAAAATGAGAAATACTCAAAGAAAAAGAAATTTAGTTCAATATTTCTATGCAGATATCGGAAGATATTTTATTAAATGATGGATATCGATCTTTATAATCGAGTAAAAAAAGATAACTTTAAAATATTTTCATTCTCATCATTTCTCGTAGTTCATCAAAAACGACAGTAGATAGCAAGGAAGAATGACATCATAGAATCAAAGTTATAGTGATTGGCTCCCTTCCAAACTTTTACTTCCGGGCAAATAGTCACAAAAGTTAAAAATTTTGAAGTGTCTCACAGGTTTTAATGTCTTACAGGTTTTAGATTAAAACAGAAAGAGATCTTTAGTTGAATAGTATCAATAGAAAGTGTCTTCAATTTAGCTCGTTTAGAAAATAGCAGACTTTCTACTTTTAGAAATAGAAACTTTCTACTTTTTCAACTATATTGCTAGTAAAATAATTATTCAAGTTTTATTTTACTTCATTTAAAAATTATTTTGTTTAATTAAAACATTTTTTAATCCCAATGGAGTTTCTCTTCAATATTGCCTTCCGGGGAAAATAGTTGGATAGTATCAATAAAATGTATCCTCTATTTAGCTCGTTTAGAAAATAGTATACTCTCTACTTTTAGAAATAGAATCTTTCTGCTTTTTCAACTACATTTCTAGAAAAATAATTATTCAAGTTTTATTTTAGTTCATTTAAAAAAAATTTTTTAATTTAAACATTGTTTAATTTCAATGAAGTTTTTCTTCAATATTGCCTTCAGATGAAAACTTCCAATCCTAGGTATAATGAGTTTAATGTAAGTAGAAAATTAGTCAAAAAATGTAGAGAAATTGTCTTCAAATTTGAGACTAACTTCAATTAACTTAGATTTTCTTATGCATTTGTAGGTGAAAATTTTATTTAAGCTTTATTTTACTTTATTTTAAAACTATTATTATTAATTTTTTGATTAAAACATTGTTTAATTTAAATAAAATTTTGTTGCGATACTATTATCACATAGACGAAATGCGAGGAAAATTTCTTATCTAAAGTTTTGAGAACTTCAACGTTATAAGGAAGTTAGTCTGAAAATGTAAAAAAGTAAGTTACAAATTTGAAACTTTCCATTTTTTCTCAAACTATCATTTTATATTTATGTTATTCCTTAATTAAAACATTATGTTAGTTTCAAATTTGAAATTGACTTTCTACTTTTTAAGCTTCATTTGTAGTTGAAAATTTTATTTCAGCTTTACTTTACTTGATAGAGTTATTTTTTAATTAAAACAATGTTTAATTTCAATGAAGTTACGTTTCAAATTTATCATTCGGGACAGACTGGGAAAATTTCTAATCAAAAGTTTAGTGAATTTCAACGTTAGTAGAAAGTTATCGGGATAGTAACATTCTGATGTCACCTAGCACTGGTTTTAATAGTTTGTTTGATTTTATCCCAATGCTTTACTCTCTTTTAATACTTAAAATAGATGTACCTGATAATCTCACCTTTTTGTTTACGATGCTACATCGATCTATCGGGAAATGTCGATGTTTTTAAGTATCGCATTGAATTATCGAGAGTGTCATGAAATTTTATTTAGGTAAGGAAAATATTGATCAATTTAAAAATAGTTTAAATTTGTTCCGATGTAAAAGAATATCGTGATATATCGTGGAATATAAGTATTTCTTGACGTGATGTTAAAATTCAGATAGCTATGTAACGTAAGTTAATAAACGTAATGTTATTTAATGTAAATAGTTTAGTCGAAGAATTCAAGCATAAATTCCTTTAAATAATTAATGCTTTTTTTTTCTCATTGAGTTCCTTACTTACAGAAAAAGAACAAAGATATAGAGATTAAATTGCTAAGCTGGGGAATTTATGATTTTATTTCTCACATTATATTTACAGACAATCAGAAAACAATTTTCTTGCCCATCTTCCGTTCAAATTCGATTTTTCGTCAACTGTGTGTAGTATATTGATCTTTTTACTGCAACTTTTACATGATGCTAAATTGAAATTAATCGTTCTTCTTAAATTTGATAACACTATGCTATAGTTCAGCATGTGCGGAAACATAGTTCAATTTGAAACATAACTATGGTTGCTGCAAATTTGCACCGCAACATGGTCTAAGATAGTGATTAAATGGTCCAATTTTGTAGCATGTTGAATCTTGTTACTCTTCAAAATTGCTGAAACTTTTATATGGTGTTCAGTTGAAACCTATTGATTTTTCTTAAATTTGATTATACGATTTTACAGTTCAACTTAGTCGGTAACATGGTTCGATTTGAAATGTGATTATGGTTGCAGCAAATTTGTACCGTAACATGGTTTAAGGTACTGATTAAAAACTTTCTAATGCTTCTCTGAATGTCCCAAATTTCTATTATGTCTTTTGATCAAATTTAAAAACATGTTTTTGTGCATAAAAAAGCTGTTACAGACAGAAATTTATTTATCTTTATCTTGAAGGAGCATTTTTTATGTGGAAAAAGTTGTATCCAAATTTGCATCTTAAAACATCGCTATAAAAAAAGCCAACCATACCTTTTATTTCGAAGTTTTTTTTTAGACATTTGAGGTGACATGATAAATCGACTCTTGTCAAGAAAGTCGTCCTTTGGGTCAAAAAAGAAAAGATTCATGTTTCTGTCAGGAAAAGAGTACCAAACAGCTGATAGTTTTGCCACGAAAAAAATATTTTTCTACCAAAAAAAGAACAAAAGCTTGAAATCCAACATGACAAAGAAAATATATATAAAGGGGTTTGCGGGTAGCTGTCAGGCCACGTGATAAGTTAGGAA